TTTGGGAGAACTGACATCTCAGCATTATGGGAATTCATGCTCATGAACGTGAAAGTTTTTGACATTTATTTAAAGCTGCAACTTCTCTCAGCAAATATTCCTACATACATCTTTCATTTAGATTTATTCCTCACCCAGTTTTTATTCCTTTTTTTGTACCTCTGTGTTTTCTTCCAGCCAGTACAACTTTTTTTTTTTTTTTTTAAGATTTTCTTATTTATTTGAAAGGCAGAGTTAGACAGGTGGGGGCGGGGAGGGGGAAGATCTTCTATCCTCTGGTTCATTCCCCAGATGGCTGTAACGGCCGAAGCTGTGCCAATCTGAAGTCAGGAGCCAGAAGAGCCAGAAGCTTTTTCCAGGTCTCCCATGTGGGTGCAGAGGCCCAAGCACTTGGGCCACCTTCTGCTGCTTTCCCAGGCCATAGCAGAGAGCTGGATCAGAAGTGGAGCAGCGGGGAGTCGAACTGGCAGCCATATTTGATGCTGGCACTGCAGACCAGGGCTTTAACCTGCTGCGCCCCAGTGTTGGCCCCAAACAACTTTCCTGTTATATCCTGAAGTACTTTTGTGCCGGCAAATGAGTTGTTTGAGAAAATGACTTTCATCCACTTTCTGTTTTGAGGAACTCTGGTTTGGCAAGCAGTGTTTTGTTTCATAACTTTAAAGACATTAGCTACTTGTCTTTTGGTACCCATGGGAACCTAGCCATCATTCTTAGTGGTGTTCTCCGGAAAGGTGATGGCTGGTTCCTTTTTTTTTTTTTTGACAGGCAGAGTGGACAGTGAGAGAGAGACAGAGAGAAAGGTCTTCCTTTTGCCATTGGTTCACCCTCCAATGGCCGCTGCGGCCGGCGCACCACGCTGATCTGATGGCAGGAGCCAGGTACTTATCCTGGTCTCCCATGGGGTGCAGGGCCCAAGCACTTGGGCCATCCTCCACTGCACTCCCTGGCCACAGCAGAGAGCTGGCCTGGAAGAGGGGCAACTGGGACAGAATCCGGCGCCCCGACCGGGACTAGAACCCGGTGTGCCGGCGCCGCAAGGCGGAGGATTAGCCTAGTGAGCCGCGGCGCTGGCCGCTGGTTCCTTTTGATATCTTGTCTGTATCTTCAAGTTATAGAAGTTTGAGTATGATGTGCCTACGTGTGGTTTTCCTTGTGTTTATCTCAGTCAGGGTTCACTGAGCTCTTGAATCAATACGTTGCAAATGTTCATCAGAACTGATAAAATGGTGGTTGGTTATTTCTTTGAGAGTGGCTTCTTTTGCTTTCTCTCTCAGCTCTATCAGATTCTGATAACTTCTATTTTAGAAGTTTTGGTCGTGGGGCTGGCGCTGTGACGTAGTGGGTTAAGCCTCTGCCTGTGATGTCAGCGTCCCAGATGGGCACCTGTTCAAGTCCTGGCTGCTCCTCTTCTGATCCAGCTGTCTGTATAGCCTGGGAAAGCAGTAAAAGATGGCCCAAAGCCTGAGCTCCTGCACCCACATGGGAGACCAGAAGGAAGCTCTTGGCTCCTGGCTTCAGATTGGCTCAGCTCCATTGCAGCCATCTGGGGAGTGAACCAGTGGGTGGAAAGCCTTTCTGTCTCTCCCTCTCTCTGTCTGTAACTCTACCTCTCAAATAAATCCAAAAAAAAAAAAAAATTTTTTTTTTGGTCATGTCCCTTACATCTTTTGTGGTCTATTCTTTGTGTGTTCTTCTTGTTTGATGCATCAGATATTCTGGATATTTTCTAATAACCTTTCAAGTTGATTAATTTTTTTTAAAGCTATGTCAGTCTTCTTTTAGGGCTTACTTATTGATATGTCCCTGAAAGGAATAACTTCTTCCTTGCTCCTGCAATGAGTTCCTAGATTTCAGATATTGTGTGTTGCTGTTCTAGAATATTCACTTGATTATGTTTATTGAATCTAATAATCCGTTGAAATCCTCCATCTTTTTATCCATGTTGTCTGTACTTTTCTCTTTAAAAAATACTGGGGCTGACATTCTGACATAGCAGGTTAAGCCACTGCCTGCAATTGCTGGCATCCCATATGGCTGCTCCACTTCTGATCCAGCTCCCTGCTAGTGTGCCTGGGAAGAGGCAGAGGATGGCCCAAGTGCTTGGGTCCCTGCACCCACATGGGAGACCTTGAGGAGGCTCCTGGTCCAACCCTGGCTATTGTGGCCATTGGGAGAGTGAACCAACAGATGGAAGGTTTCTTGGTCTATCTCTCCTTCTAACTTTGCCTTTCAAATAAATACTAAATAAATCCTTAAAATAGTATTAATTATAGTTGTTTTGAAATCCTTATCTGCCAATTCCAACATTTGCATCATCTCTGCTTCTGTTTTTTATGCATTGATTATCGGTCCGTTTTGCTTACTTCTTTGCCTTCTGCAACATTCTTATAGTGGATAACAAGTTATGCACCTTCTGGGTTGGAATATCAGCCACTGAACAATGTTGAGTTTTGTTCTGACAGTCAGTTAAATTACTTGCAGTTTACCATGACTGGATGCTTGGTTGTTCAGGCCTTGTTAGGGTGAATCAACCTACCATCACTACTTGCCATTACTCTGTGGCATGGCCTGTATTCTCTTCTTGGTCTCAAAGGAATGCCAGGGTGGTCTGTGGAGGGTTCTCTCTTTTGGCTGAGTTGGAACCCTAATGTCTCCTGAGCATTGTGCAACCTCTGAAGTTTCTGTTGGATTCTTTGTCTCTTAGCAGCATTTCTCTGCTGCCTCTTAGAGTTTTACCCTACTCATAAACACGTTAGGAATGATCTAAGAATCCAAGAGTGCTTTTTTTTTTTCTTCAAGGTTTTGGAACTTTTTCTATAGAGCTTCTGGTCATCAGTATCCTGACCCTGAAATCCATGTTTGCTTAATATCTCTAAATTGTACTCACCTCCCTTCATCAGTGATTTGTCACTGACTGGTTTGGACCCCTTTCCCCCCTAAATAAATGAAATTTACCTTTTTAGAGCAAAATGGAGTGGGAAGTACAGGGAGTTCCTCTTCTGTCCTGTTCCCACACACGCTCCCCACCACTGTTCACATCCTGCGTGACCGCGGGACATCGTGACAGTCAGTGGACCTTCCCCGGCACGGCACTGTCACCCAAGGCCATAGCTGACATTCGAGTTCACGCTTGATGTTGTGCATTCTGTGGATTCTGGGAACCGAGTGATGACACATACTCACCATCATGGCATCCTACAGAGCCGTTTCACTGCCCTAAAAATCCTCTATGAGCTGTCTTCTTTTCCTTAACCTCTGGCAACCGGTCATCTTTTGTACCATTTCCATGATTTTGTCCTTTCCAGAATGCTATGTGGTTGGAATCAGAGAGGGTAGCCTTTGCAGATTGACGTCTTTCACTTAGTAATAGGCGCCCAAGTTTCCCCATGTCTTTTAATGGTTTGCTGGCTCCTTTTAATGTTGAGTAATGTTCCATTTTCTGATGTACCACAATTTATCCATTGCCCTACTAAGGACATCATAGTTAATTCCAAGTTTTGTCAGTTGTAAATGAAATTCCCATGAACATCCACGTGGACTTCAGTTTTCATTTCACTTGGGTATGCACCAAGGAGCGCAGGTGTTAGATGGTACGGTAAGAGCATGTTCAGTTTTGTATGAAACTGCCAGACTTCCAAAGTGGCTGTCCCAGTTTGCATTCCCACAAGCAGTGAGTTCCTGTTGTTCCACATTCTTGCCAACATTTGGCGTTGACGATTTTGAATGTTGGCCAATCTAATAGGTGTGCCGTGGTATCTTGTTGCTTTAATTTGCAGTTCCCTAATGACATCGTTTGGGCTTTTAAATTTTTTTTTAAAGATTATTTATTTGAAAGATGGATTTACAGAGAGGTGTGGGGTGGTGGGGGAGGGGAAGTGGAGTCTTCGACTGGTTTACTCCCCAGATGGCTGCAATAGCCGGAGCTGAGCCTATCCAAAGCCAGAGGCAGGAGCTTCTTCCTGGTCTCCCACATGGGTGCAGGTGTGCAAGGACTTGGGCCATCTTCTGCTGCTTTCCCAGGCCATAGCAGAGAGCTGGATCAAAAGTGGAGCAGCCGGGTCTCGAACTGGCACACATATGGGATACTGGCATTGTAAGCGGCGTCTCTACTTGCTGTGCCACAGCACTGGCCCCATCATTTAGGTTTTTAAAATTTTGCTGTGCTGTGGTTTAGAAATGCAGCCAGGAAGAATTGGGGAATTCAGGTTACCCCATGTATTTCTTCTTTTCAGGTTTACTGCCTGTGTTGATTGTTGTTTGCAGCCTGCAAACAATTCTTTATAAACTCTACCTAAATTTCATCATTTTTCTCTGGGAGGATAAATCTGATAAGGGCTACTCTGTCATGACAGAACCAGAATTTAAGTAGTCAGTGATATTTTATTAATATGGAAGAAGTATTGGGTTCTGAACGTATAGAGATGCATAAAACATGGTCCCACTCTTCAGACATTCATAAGCTACTGTTTTAGTTCTCATAAGAAACCCATACACTTAAAGAAATCCTGATGTTAACCTGTTCTGCCATTAAAATAGAAAAAGGAATGTTTTTCCCCAATTATTTTCCAAAGAGGTTCTGTTCCTGATTTTTTTTTTTAAACTGTTGATATCTATGGCCTGCAATCTAGGATTTATTTTGAAGAAGCTTTTTCAGTTTAACTTAAATTTAGTATGTTACATAATACTCTCCAGAATTGTTTAAGGACTTCAACAAATGTACCAGCCGTGCAAGCTTTAGTCATACTGGACTGATGTTGAAATAGCTGACGAAGTAATTCCTGTGATTTTTCAGAAAACACTGTAGAATAAATTTTGCTGGAGTCCCAAATAGGCCAGTGTGATTGACTTTGCAAAACTGGGCAAATGCCTTTGTAGGGACTGACCTTTCAGTTGGATCTTAAGATGTTTAATTTATCTGTCTATATATTTTGGGAGAAGAGAATTAAAAGTAAGCATCATGAACATTTAAATTGGGATATCTTTGCAATTAATTATAGGCTTCTGATTCCTCATCTGAAGTCAAAGATCTATTGGAACAGAAAAATAAGTTGACCCTAGAAGTGGCTGAACTTCAGAGACAGCTTCAACTAGAAATCAAGGTATCTGGTTTTTCATTTATGTTCTATTCATTTCTGCATTGGTTGATAAGGAATATTTTAAGCACATTAGGATGCCCAGGTGGAAGGAAAGCCAGTTCTTGTTTTCTGCAAAGAAACATTCCTGTCATCAGTGAGTGTTTGCCTACTGGTATCTGAAGTAGAATCTATGCTGTTGGATTCAAGCAGGCCAGTAGGAAATTAATGAATGTTTAGTATGTGAAACCTCTGAGCTAAGTAATAGGAGTGGCAGATTGAGGTTTAGCCATGTTGGTCTGTCTTTCAGAAGCATTGCATTCATTAGATATGAGTATTTATTTTTAAGTGTTAAATATAAATATTTAACATGCTAATTATGAACTCTGTGCTTTAATTAGGTAGTTTGATTATGCTTAATAAAGTAAAAGCGGAGACATAGAATCCGTTAGTGTTTAGAAGGAGGCTTCTGTGGGACGACGGTAATACACAGTCAGTGGTGGTGCATGAAAAATCGCACTGCTTCATCCTAGAACCAAGAGAACATCAAAGACGAGAGAGAGAGAATGAGAGCAAACTTGGAAGCGCTGCGAAGCCAGCACGACAGTAAGGTGGAGGAGAATTCCGTCTTGAAGCAGCGACTGGAAGAAAGTGAAGGAGAGCTCCGCAAAAACCTGGAGGAGTAAGTTCCGGCGGAAGCACCTGCCGCCCTTCTGGTTCTCGCGTTGTGTGGAGCCAGAGCCTCCGCGTATTCAGAGGCTGCCGACCCTTCCTTTCCCCTTCCGATCCTTGTAGAATTGTGAGGCTGGTGATGGGGTAGGCCGGACAGCAGGGAGGTTCCTGAGTACGAACGTTCTTGGTGCACCTTGAATTATGTCGTGTCGAGTTGTTGCCCATAAGGTGGATCTCGGAGCAGGTAAGTCAGAAGCAGGGAACAGAGTGGAGCTATCTGGGGAGCCTGATGTTAGGAGGAGTCTGGGCCCAGCTTTTGAAAAGCCTGTGTCACATGGCCTCCACCGTCTTCCCACTTGTGAATTTTGTCTTAGATGGTGCTGGTCTCTGACAGGTGGCTCTTATCTGTTCTAAATCTAGAGAAGGAAAGTCAAATCTCGGGCGCCTTGCCGTTATGCTGTATTGAAATCTGAGGTTAGAGGATCTTGTTTCTGGGGAGCAGGTGGTTAGCCTAGCATTCCCACACCAGGATGCCTGGGTTCAGTTCCCAGCTCCAGGCCCTACTCCAGCTTCCCCCTAACACAGACCCTGGAAGGTAGTGGTGAGAACTCAAATAATTGGGTTCCTGCCACCCATATGGGAGACCTGGATTGAGTTCTTGGCTCTTCGTTCTGGCCGCAGCTTCTGCCATTGTAGGCATTTGAGGAGTGACCAGTAGATGGGAACTTGTTCTCTCTGCCCCTCCAAAAAATAAAAAACTAAAATCAAGATCTGACGATGCACGGTGCTGTGAAGCTCTGTGTACATGACACCTTAAGTGAAAGGTAGGAATGAAATCTAGAAGGAAATTCAAGAAAACTAGGACATTATCCAATAAAGGCATTTGGTTGCCTTTACAATTCTGATGGTAGTGTTTTCTACTTTTAAAACAACCATGGAATGTAAATTCAGAAGCTAGAAAAAAAAATCAGAAAACTTAGGGCAGTGTAGTAAAGACTTTGCAAAATAAAAAAGTGCAGTGAGTCTGAGTTTGGGTTAGCAGGGAAGTTGGCAAACACTGTCTTGTCAGATGGTGATTATTTTAGGGTTTGCAGACCATATAGTCTTGCTGCAACCATTCAGCTCTTCCATTGTGTTGTGAAAATGGCCAAGGCGTGTATAAACGAATGAACATGATTGTGTTCCGGTAAAACTTTATTTACAAACACAGGTATGGGCTAGATTGGTCTAGATCATAATTTGTTACTCTCCAAGTGTAGAGTAAGGTGGGATGGCTTTAGTGGGGGAAAAAAAAAACAACAAAGTTGGGTTTTGTCACTTCCTCTTCCGTGTCCAAACTCTGTTACCCTACATGTCTCTGGGTAGCCCTCTCCACTTCAGTGACTGGACTGCTTACTTGTTGGGTGAATTCAGACACAGCCATGGGTTCTTAAAAGTGCGTTTCCAGGTTGGCGTATCCTTGTTCTGTGCGATAGAATGAGAGGCTCCTTGTGGCTTTGTTTAGATGACTTTGTGGGAGCATCTGAAGGTCTGAATGAGATGGGAAGAAGATCCGCAGAGCCCAGGAGCGTCTTTGATGCGCTTTCTTCTTTCCTCCGCCGCCAGGCTGTTCCAGGTGAAGATGGAACGAGAGCAGCACCAGACTGAAATCCGGGATCTCCAGGACCAGCTCTCAGAGATGCACGATGAACTGGACAGTGCAAAGCAGTCCGAGGACAGTGAGAAGAGTGCTCTGATTGAGGTAAGTGCTCTGATTGACCCTGTGTGGGGTCAGGGGACAGCGGACAGCCTCGCCTGCTTGGAGGGCTGGGCTGGGTGGAGGGACTGGGGTGTGACACACCATTTTATTTCCTGTACGTTTGTTCCTTCCGGACCTAAGGTTAGAATCTGCAGGAGAACCGTATGTAATAGTTTTTAAACATTGTCTTAGGAAAATTTTCAGCCATGCAGAAAAGTGGAAAGAATTCTGCATTAATACCCATAGCCAACTAAGGCAGGTTCAACGGTTGTCTGTATTTCTTCCCTCCCTCCCTTCATTCTGTTATCTTAGTATTTTTTGCTTATTTGCTGAATCCTTTCAAGAGAAATCACAGATAATACCATGCCTCATTCCTCAGATTCTCAGTATGTACCTTTGAAAAATTAGGGAATTTTCTTATGTAGTCCTAATATCCTTGTCAAACCTAAAAAAAGAATCATCGCTTTAATATGTAATAATGCTTTTGTTTTTTTGAGGATTTATTTGAGTGGCAGAGTTACAGAGAGAGGGAGAGATAAAGAGGCCTTTCATCCATTGGTTCACTCCCCAGATGGCTACAACAGCTGGAGCTAGGGTGATCTCAAGCCAGAAGCCAGGAGCTTCTTCCAGGTCTCCACATGGGTGGTAGGGGCCCAAACACTTGAGCCGTCTTCTGCTGCTTTCCCAAGCCATTAGCAGGGAGCTGATCAGAGTGGAGTAGCTGGAACTTGAACCCACGCCCATATGGGATGCTGGTGCTGCAGGCAGAGGCTTAACCTACTATGCCATAGTGCTGGCCCCAATATGTAATAATTCTAATGCTTAGTTCTTAGTTAAATTTTTCCATCTGTCCTATCCCCCAAGTCCATTTTATAGTGATTTTTTCTACGCCAGAATCTAATCAGGAATCCCCTGGCTTTCATTGCTTCGTCTCTCCGATGGAGTTTACCGTGGTGCAGCTCTTCCTGCCTCCTGCAGCCATCCCAGCCCCTTTGCACTTTCTCCCTTTCTTTGACCTTCTCTGGAGACCGGAGCCGTGCCCCACCTTCTGGATTTGATTGTTTCCTTATGGAGTCCATTGACTTGTTCCACTCCCCTCTGTGTTTCTAGCAAGTTGGAAATTAGATCTAAACCTTAATAGATTCAGGCTGAAGTTTTGGGCAAAAATACGTGGTAAGTGTGTTGTTTATGGAAAAACATCTGAAAGACATTAAGAGTGTATGAATGCCCATAGAGCACTTAACACAGGTTACCTTTTGCTTTGCTTCTGGCCACAAGACTACAATCTCCATGACAGCAGGGGTGGCTCAGCACTGTACACTGTGTATAAGGGGCCTTCAAAGTGTTTGTGGAAAAAAAGGAATTAAAGATGCATTTATTTTGGTGCAAAGACTTTTTGAAATCCCTGCCTAGTTCCTGTCAAGATGCACGTGGCCCTGAGCTTTCCGGAGACCCCCGTGGGTAGCAGGTGCTGCGGCGCTGAGCTGGATATCAGTCAGTGAAGATTTAGGGGATGGTTGGAAGGGTTCACGATATGCTAACAAAGGAATGAGTAAATGTGTTTGCTATGTACCCAGCTGTCCGTCTGACTTTTGCCTATAAGGGCTCCCAGATCATTCCCTCTTGATAATCTATTAGGCACTGGGTAATGCCCGGCTGGGCATTTATTACAGGGTTTGCCAAGCACCATTACTGTCTCTTTCCTGGATTAGATTACCACTCTGTAGAGGAGTTAGGTACACACACTAAATGCTTGGAAAGCAGGCATGCTGGTTCTGAACATCTGCCTTTTTTTTTTTTTTTTCATTAATTGAGGGTCAAAAAAAATGTATCACTACACCTATTTGGATGTTTGCTGCTGTAACATTATCATCACTTGTATTTTTTGGCAAAGTTTTGAAATATGTTTCTTTATAAGCTTTGATTTGTAGCAACAGTCAAATAAACGATAGATAATTCAGAACAAAGTCCTCTCAGACTCCCTGCACCCCTGCAAGTCAAGAAATGAAGGCCCCCAGTTAGTATGCAGTTTTCTGCCTCGTTCCCCTTGGCGCTTATGTGTTTCTTTTGTCCCTTTCTTGGCCCTTCAGTTCCTGGGGCTCCCTGTTAAGTCTTGGTTATCAGCTGTTTGCTCACTCCCTGCCCTGCTTCATTTTGAAATAGTTCCCTGGGAGAGATTTGAGTTCCTTCTCCGAAGATCTTAGACTTCTCTTCCCCTAACTTGGCAGGAGCTGAGGGCAGAGCGCCAGCAGCCTCACGGCACAGGAGTGCTCGTGAATTCACTTTCCCCACAAGCAGAGGAGGATAACTTCGTTTACCCCACATGTCCATCTGTTTGTTGCTATTTATTTTTATTTTCATTTTATTTGAAAGACAGAGAAGGAGAAATCAAGATCTACTACCCACTCATTCACTCCCCAAAGACCTGTAATAGCTACAGATGGGCCAGGCAAAAGCCAGGAGCCAAGAACTCAGTGTAGGTCCCCGCTATGAGTGGCAGGGACTCATGTAGACCGTGTACTTGAGCTGTTCTGCTGCCTCCCAGGGTGCACACTGGCAGGAAGGCGAATCAGAAGCAGAGTCAGGCACTCGGATATGGGATGTGGGCGTCTTAATGGCTGCGTCAAATGCCTGCCCCTCTGCTGTTACACGGACCTCTGCTCCTGAGGTCTTGGAGCTGGTCCTTACCACCTGGAGTTTCTCTTTTTATCAAATGTTTCCTTAAAAGCCGCCATGTTCATGGTGTTAGGCTACTTCCTGTGGCCCTACCTTCTTTCAGGGCTCAGAGTTAAAGACAAGACATATTAGTAATGGACTTTGCAAATATGTGTATTTATCATTGAAGTACTGTTAAAACAGCATAAAATACTATTTAAAAATTTGTCATTATTCATTTGGAAGGTAGAGATACAGCAAAAGGGACAGAGACCGATATCTCCATCCACTAGTTCACCTCCCAAATATCCCCAACAGGTAGGGCGGAGCCAGGCTGAGGCCAGGAATGGCAGGGACACAGGTACCTGAGCTATAGCTGCTGCCTCCCCGGGTGTGCATCAGCAGGGAGCGGAATAGGAAGCAGGACAGGGACTCAAACCCAGGTGTTGGCACGGGAGGTGGTGCACTGAGCAGCATCTTAACTCTGTTTTTTTTTTTTTTTTTAAATGAGGAATGGCACAGATTTTCCCAGTATCTTAAACAGCTATTTTTAGTTCTACATTTTCTGTTTCCTTCCGAATCCATTGATAGACTTCATTTACCCATCTATATAGAATAGGAAGGGCGGTCTCAGTGTCCCTAGAGTTTTGAAAACCTGTTTTTAAAAGTTAATATCTCAGAAACATTTTTCTTATTAAAGTTTATGACACTTCTATTTCATTTTTAAAAGAGATAAACCGTAACACATTTATTTATTCTCTATTTCTGTGGTTTGCTTTCTTTGCAATTATAAACAAATGTTGGGGTGAATGTTTTCAAATGTATCCTTTACTACTTGAAAAACCTTTCCTAAGGATAAGTTCCCAGAAATGATGTCACTGAGGAGTTTATGGTTCCAGTAAGAGTGTAGCTTCACAAATTTAAGTGGAGGGTAAGACTTTGCCATATTCTGTGACTTCTTGTGTGGACTCTTCTTCGCCTCTAAAAGGGAGAGAGATTATCTTCGCTGGAGGGAAGTGGCTGAAGTTGCTGATCTTTCCCAGTAACTGGAACCTATAATTATCACTGCCTTTTCCCTTGAGTCCTCTAACCTTTTAGAGTCTCTATTTTAGCCCATTTGACCTTCCTCTGTTTCTGTATTAATCTCTTTATTCTATCAGCCAACCTAATTCAACAAAGCCAACTTGCTGTTTCTTCCATTTTGTGCTTAGCCTAGTGCCAAACAATGGAGCAAATGAGTAAATAATCTTCAGTATTTATATGACTTAAAAAGTTACCTTTAAAGGGAATAATTCTAACATGAAGTATATATTTCTTTGCCTTCTTTCTTTATTTATTTTTGTAAGATTTTTTTTAATTGAAAGGCAGAGAGACGGAGATCTCCCACCCACTTGTTCATTCCCCAAATGCCTGCACCAGCCAAGTGCTGGGCCTGATTGAATCAGGAGCCAAGAACCGCATCCAGGTCTCCCTATGGGTGGCAGGGACCTGAGCATATGGTCCATCATTTGCCTTCCTGGGTGTGTTAGCAGGGAGCTGGTTGGGAAGCAGAGCAACCAGAGCTTGAGTAGGCAACTCCAGTGTGGGCTGCTGGCATGCAAGTGGCAGTTGAACCTGCTCTGCCACAACACCTGTCCTGCTTCGCCTCTTTAAACACACTATCATGCATGTTAATAGAATCTAACATAATCAAATAGCTGATAGATTTATTTGTGCTGAAATAGAAGAGCGACGTGGTGACATGAACTGGAGCAGAGGCTGCTAATGGGATGCTCAGTAATGGGAAACAGAGCACATCTTTTCTCAAGACATTCCTGGTGTGCTGGCTTTCCCGGTTTCTGCCCTTTTCCCACGTGGGTCCTGTGTCATCAGCTGCCTTTCTACAGGCAGAGTTCGGAGGGCACAGTTAGTTTTTCTGGACCAGAGGGTTTTTCCCCTCTGGAAAATCACCCCCACTGCTTTTATCAGTTTCCTCTGACTTGTCAGCAACACTTAAAACATGATCTAAGGTCTCTACATCACAAATAAAAGAGACCCCGTCTCCTTGTCACTTTGAATTTATTCTTCCTGTCTTACTAAGGAGTGGCCTGTGGGAATTTGATAACAGATGATAAACATGGCCAAGTTTTCCTTGACGTTTGACTTAGACTCTGAAACACAGTGCACGTCAAACATTTCAGCTGTGCAAAGTTTGGAAAAGACGAAGGACCTATATTGTGTCTTCATCATGGACCAGATTTTTCATGAAATCTCCTTTACTATTTTACAGTGGGATGGCTCCATAGGGAGGCCCTTGCTTAAACTAAGCTACCTGAGAGGAGCTTTTTTCTTGGAGAGGAAAAGGTTTA